TTGCAGATGTAGAGATCTGGAAAACACTGTGGCTACAAGATGTAGGGAAATGACAACACCACACACACACACTATGACGGCAACTCAAAAGGCTGAAGAATCTTGGACCATAAATTGTCAAGGGAAAACCATGAGCAAGGTGATCTGTTGCATTTCTTTACAGTTGCAAAGTTGCAGTAAAGATGAGAGAATAGGCTTCAACACCAGGAATGTGGTTCATTTGCTGAGAGAGATTGTACCAGTCAGTGAGTTGAGTTGGTTTTTCCCCAGATCTGTTCAATTTAATAATACAAGTGATCTTTTAATTGAAAGGGGAGGGGGGAGAAGTCATTATTATTTGAGAATTGTTCACAGTACTGGAAAGCTAAAAGAAGTGATTGATGCCTTGAGACAACTGATTGGAAAGGATCTGTGGGGCACATGGGTGAGTGCTATGGGAGTGTTTTTGTTACAGGCACATAAGAGTTGTCCTTCATCATCAATGGCATGAATACAGTGGTAAAAGAATCCAATTGAATCCATCTACTTAGAGATGCATCTGCAGTAAAAATGAAATCTCAAGGAACTTTTTGAAAATTTGGAGATATCAACTTTGATTTACGAATGCGCTAATGATCCTGGTCAAGAAAACCTATCAGCTGTAAAGAGAATGTTCCACCCTTGTCAGTGAGTGAAGAGTTGATGTTCTTACCAAACATTTTCAAATTTTTAAAGAACATTCTAATTTGACATTTTTTTTGTCATTGTAATTGGGATGGGAGGGGGTGACCTTTACTTGTTTCTAAAAGCTTCTTTACAGCAATAACAAGTGGACAGACAAAAAGCTTAGTCATGAGGAAGAAGCAATGTGTTGGATGTCACACCTCAGAGGTTTCAGCTTTTTAATACAAGCATGCAGAGATGTGGAAAAACCCAAGCTTATCTCTTGGTGAGTCCAGTGGACTGTCATTGCAGATGTAGAGATCTGGAAAACACTGTGGCTACAAGATGTAGGGAAATGACAACACCACACACACACTATGACGGTAACTCAAAAGGCTGAAGAATCTTGGACCATAAATTGTCAAGGGAAAACCATGAGCAAGGTGATCTGTTGCATTTCTTTACAGTTGCAAAGTTGCAGTAAAGATGAGAGAATAGGCTTCAACACCAGGAATGTGGTTCATTTGCTGAGAGAGATTGTACCAGTCAGTGAGTTGAGTTGGTTTTTCCCCAGATCTGTTCAATTTAATAATACAAGTGATCTTTTAATTGAAAGGGGAGGGGGGAGAAGTCATTATTATTTGAGAATTGTTCACAGTACTGGAAAGCTAAAAGAAGTGATTGATGCCTTGAGACAACTGATTGGAAAGGATCTGTGGGGCACATGGGTGAGTGCTATGGGAGTGTTTTTGTTACAGGCACAGAAGAGTTGTCCTTCATCATCAATGGCATGAATACACTGGTAAAAGAATCCGAACAAATCCATCTACTTCGAGATGCATCGGAAGTAAAAATGAAATCTCAAGAAACTTTATGAAAATTTGAGATATCAACTTTGATTTACGTGCGCTAATGATCCTGGTCAAGACAACCTATCACCTGTAAAGAGAATGTTCCACCCTTGTCAGTGAGTGAAGAGTTGATGTTCTTGCCAAACATTTTCAAATTTTTAAAAGAGCATTCTAATTTGACATTTTTTTGTCATTGTAATTGGGATGGGAGGGGTGACCTTTACTTGTTTCTAAAAGCTTCTTCACAGCAATAACAAGTGGACAGACAAAAAGCTTAGTCATGAGGAAGAAGCAATGTGTTGGATGTCAAACCTCAGAGGTTTCAGCTTTTTAATACAAGCATGCAGAGATGTGGAAAAGGCAAGCTTATCTCTTGGTGAGTCCAGTGGACTGTCATTGCAGATGTAGAGATCTGGAAAACACTGTGGCTACAAGATGTAGGGAAATGACAACACCACACACACACTATGACGGTAACTCAAAAGGCTGAAGAATCTTGGACCATAAATTGTCAAGGGAAAACCATGAGCAAGGTGATCTGTTGCATTTCTTTACAGTTGCAAAGTTGCAGTAAAGATGAGAGAATAGGCTTCAACACCAGGAATGTGGTTCATTTGCTGAGAGAGATTGTACCAGTCAGTGAGTTGAGTTGGTTTTTCCCCAGATCTGTTCAATTTAATAATACAAGTGATCTTTTAATTGAAAGGGGAGGGGGGAGAAGTCATTATTATTTGAGAATTGTTCACAGTACTGGAAAGCTAAAAGAAGTGATTGATGCCTTGAGACAACTGATTGGAAAGGATCTGTGGGGCACATGGGTGAGTGCTATGGCAGTGTTTTTGTTACAGGCACAGAAGAGTTGTCCTTCATCATCAATGGCATGAATACAGTGGTAAAAGAATCCAAGTGAATCCATCTACTTAGAGATGCATCTGAAGTAAAAATGAAATCTCAAGGAACTTTTTGAAAATTTGGAGATATCAACTTTGATTTACGTATGTGCTAATGATCCTGGTCAAGACAACCTATCAGCTGTAAAGAGAATGTTTCACCTTTTTCAGTGAGTGAAGAGTTGATGTTCTTACCAAACATTTTCAAATTTTTAAAAGAACATTCTAGTTTGGTAGATTTTTTTGTCATTGTAATTGGGATGGGAGGGGGTGACCTTTACTTGTTTTTGAAAGCTTCTTCACAGCAATAACAAGTAGACAGACAAAAAGCTTAGTCATGAGGAAGAAGCAATGTGTTGGATGTCAAACCTCAGAGGTTTCAGCTTTTTAATACAAGCATGCAGAGATGTGGAAAACGCAATCTTATCTCTTGGTGAGTCCAGTGGACTGTCATTGCAGATGTAGAGATCTGGAAAACACTGTGGCTACAAGATGTAGGGAAATGACAACACCACACACACACTATGATGGCAACTCAAAAGCCTGAGGAATCTTGGACCATAAATTGTCAAGGGAAAACCAAGAGCAAGGTGATCTGTTGCATTTCTTTACAGTTGCAAAGTTGCAGTAAAGATGAGAGAATAGGCTTCAACACCAGGAATTTGGTTCATTTGCTGAGAGAGATTGTACCAGTCAGTGAGTTGAGTTGGTTTTTCCCCAGATCTGTTCAATTTAATAATACAAGTGATCTTTTAATTGAAAGGGGAGGGGGGATAAGTCATTATTATTTGAGAATTGTTCACAGTACTGGAAAGCTAAAAGAAGTGATTGATGCCTTGAGACAACTGATTGGAAAGGTTCTGTGGTGCACTTATCATTGGAGATATTGTGATCTGATCGTTAAATCTTGAACAACACTTCATCTCTAAGCTATGTATGGGAATGGCAATGTCGCATATTGTGTCAAAATCATGTGGATGAGCCACCATGTAATTTCAACCTTTTATGTATTTCAGAATTTTCTTTTTAATTATTTTAAGTTAAAAAAATCTCCTTGGCTTTTTTATATATATATGCTTGTCGGTTCTGTTAAATTTTTATTTTTAAAATAATTTCATATTTTGCTCAGAATTTTTTTCTGTATCTGTTTGTAGCCGCTTAAGGAAGATACCATTCAATGGAAGCATGAAACCACCTCAAAATTAAATGGTCTGAGGAATTTCTGCTAAATTCTAAATTTGTTGGCAATATATATGCAGTTACTTGGTAGTTAACACTATATAACTCATAATATAAAATAAATTTATACCTATGTGTTTATTTATGATTTCTTTGAAAATTAGGAATTTAAAAAAAATCATTACTTTAGATCAGGTTTTTTGTGACATTAAGAAAACAAATCACCTAACACCCAATAGATTTTGCTAAACTGTATTATTACTTAAATTAGATCATATTAGTTTAAAGTATGTTCATTTTAAATTACAGTATATCTTTTTAAAATTTTTTATGAATGCCAATTGTACATTATAATTTTACACTTAGGGTATGAATGAAATGATTGTGTCATCACAATTTGTACTCAATTTAAAAATATCATTTCTTTAGATCTAGTTTTTTGTGACATTAAGAAAACAAATCACCTAAAACCCAATAGATTTTGCTAAACTGTATTATTACTTAAATTAGATCATATTTGTTTAAAGTATGTTCATTTTAAATTACAGTATATCTTTTTAAAAAATTTTATGAATGCCAATTGTACATTATAATTTTACACTTAGGGTATGAATGAAATGATTGTGTCATCACAATTTGTACTTAATTTACCATTGTTATTGTAATAATACAAAATGCAATGAGTTGCTTTTCAACCAGTTTCAATATTATGAAAGGTTGGTGTGTGTTTTATGTTTTTGTATTTAGATTACAATCATTCTTAATTTAATTTCAAAATAAATAATTTTAATTTTTAATTTTTGTGTTATTTTTTTCTAACATTTTACTTGTATAATTTTAGCAAATTTAATTGTCCATTAAAAAAATTCAAACAATGCTAACTACAGATATCCTTATTCAATTTTAAAATTCTGGTATAAAATAGTGACATAATGACCTTTAGTATTCAATGAAAGTAATTTAGTTTAATGTTTTAATAGTATTTCTAACACTGGATATTACCTAACTTGAAAAGACTGTTTGGAATAAAAGAGATTCAGGCCTGAGTTTTATTTCTAATAGTAATATTACCCAAAATTTGTTTAAAATTTTAGTTTGTTTACTTTTAACTTTGCATTATTTTACTTGATAATTATTTTTTTTACTTGGTTAGAAGACATCAAATTGTTTTCCCTCAGCATTTTCTTAAGCATTGCTTTAAAACTTGTAGGATACCCAATTAAAAAAAAAACTACTAGTAGGCTCAAAATAAAGCTTAACATAGCCAAAGCAATTATATTCTTAATAGATAGGGTATATTGTTTTATAACTGCCAAACACAGTCGGAACCCTTAATGACTGTTCATTACATTGGAAATTATATAGCACAAAAATGAAATGAAAAAAATAAAAAAAAACTTTTAAAAAAGCTTTTCATTTATTTACATACAAAACTAATAAATTAAATTGAATAATTTAGTTTTACATTATGCATACATGTAAGTAGAAACAAAAAAAAAGTTAAGTGAAAAATTAGTAATAAAATAAGAGATGTCATTAGAAGAAAAAATACAATTTTTTTTGTTCAGACACTAATTTTTGAAATTTTAGAAACATTAACAAACGTTTTCAACAGTCCAGCTCAATAAAGTTGACACTCTACCACTTCTAATATTCTTTTCCCTTCTATTTTATCTTAATTCACACTTTTAAATAATAGTAGGAGAAAAGCAGATTAAAAAAAAATGTATAGCATAGTTATTACGCTTATCTTCCACCTTAAAAACAATAATTATTAACAACAAATACATAGCTAGCAAAATACTAAACAACAGAGTTACATTTATCATGTTTGTTAAAGATCATTATTTCAAGAATGGAGAAATCTTAACACAATTCATCAGTTTATTGATTTATTTCACCAAAGTGTGATGATGAAATATCATTACACAGCCTGCCATAACTTGACTAGAGTAACTATGAACCAACACTCATGAATAACACATCTTAGGAATAACATTTTCACAAAAGCAACACAAAAGTTTATTATTTTGTTAAAAACTGTTTTTAAAAATAAAATAAACAATTTTTGAACTACTTTACAAATACAGCAAACATATTTTTGTCTGTTTTAGTTAAGAGTTGAAAGTACTGTTAGTTTCTTCAAGTTCTGGGCACAACTTGTAAGCTTTTCTGAACAGCTCCATTGCCTGTATACATTTTCCAGCAGCCTGTAATTATAAACAGCCAATTAATTTCACAAATAATATGTTTTAAAAACAAGTTACTAATTTTTTGTGTAAATAATAAAAGGTCAAGTTAGCTTAAAACTTAAATGATTAAAGAATGCTTTATATTCAAAAAATGGCTATTATGTCTAAGTGATTATTTTTAATGTGATTTTAAATGTTGATATAATAAACTAGCATTTTAATTTTAATAATCGTTTAAAATACAACCAGTGAATTGTAATGTTAACAATACAATAAGATTTAATTAGTAGTGTAATAGATTGAGATAATTGTGAGGTCAAGGGAACTCACTCTTCTGTATTAGTATTATATTTATATTGTTATCTTGAGTGATGTCCCTTACATATATATAAATAGTTGTCTCTCGCCACTTCCTTCCTCTTGCTGGTACCATCATGTAGTTAGACCCAATAAACGTTTTATATACAACCACATGCTTCTATCGTCAATCTATTATCTCATTGGCGACGAAGGATAAATAATCCACTAGAAAGAGCACCTAATTATTCAAAAAGAGGTTTGCTAGAGCTTATTAGCTAAGTATTTCTAGAATAATGGCGCTGTATGGCCAAATAAAAGAATTTGATTCGAATGATGAAATCATTCAAGATTACCTAGATAGGTTAAGCTTTTACCTTGAAGCAAACGACGTGACGATAGAAGCCAAAAAGAGAGCTGTTTTGTTAACAGTCATAGGGCCTCAACAATTTAGGCTACTAAAAGACTTATGCGCACCAGCTAGTCTAACTACCAAGAGCTTTAACGAGCTGAGCAAATTGCTAACAGACCACCATGCGCCTACCCCATCAAAGTTTCTATGTCGAGCTAGATTTGACAGTAGGACTCGTCAACCAAACGAGTCAATATCAGAATATGTTGCTGCTTTACGTCATCTAAGTAAATTTTGTGAATTCGGCGATACGCTGTCTGACAGACTATGTGAAAAGTTTGTGACAAGTGTAAACAGCCCTGATATTCAAAGAAAGTTGCTGCTCGAGTCAGATCTAACATTGGAAAAAGCAATACAACTAGCAATTTCATTCCAGCAGTCATCTGATGCGGCGAGATCTTTAGCACCTTCAGAGATCCATGCAGTAAACAGCAGGTTAGTCAATAAACATCAACCCCATCAGAGCATTCCAACTTATGCTAAACAGCCTGCACGTTCAAAGCCTAGATCTAAATCTAGTAATAATTATCAAAAATGTCATCGATGCAAAGGTCCCCATGCATCTCATCGGTGCAAGTTCAAGTCTGCAACTTGTTATAAGTGCAGTAAGCAAGGTCACATTGCCAAGGCCTGCTTTGCAAAGTCTTCGTCTGTTGCTAAATCTAGCCAGTCAAGACAGTACCGCAACCAAAGGCAGCACTATGTTAACTCTCACTAAGACTACCTAACCCAACCAATGAACCACTCTACCTGTGAAAATGCTCAAACTGATTCGCAGCCGGATTTCAACCTGTTCTCTGTGAAATCAATAAGTCATGCTCCCATCAATGTACAAGTTAATATCAACGGTAAGAGCATAAGCTTCCAACTTGACACTGGAGCATCTCTAACAGTCATAACAAAGAAAGATTTTGACGCTGTCACAGGAGGATCAGTGCCTCTACAGCCATGTCACAAGTGTCTAACAACATACACTGGTGACAATGTCCCGGTAATAGGAGAGTGTATGGTTCATGTAAGTTATAATGGTCAAAGTGTTAAACTTCCTCTTCTTGTGGTTGAAGGAAATGGACCACCATTACTAGGTAGGAACTGGTTAAGTGATCTTAAGTTAAATTGGGAGAGTATATGTTCATTGAACAATGGAAAAGAATCTAGTCTTACTTCACTAGATAAAGTAATATCTGAAAATAAATGTGTTTTTGGTAATCATGGATTACTAAATGATAGAACAGTGAAGTTAAGCATTAAAGACACTAATCCAAGATACTGCAAAGCTAGAGTTCCACCTTATGCAATGAGGAATAAAATTGAAAATGAGCTAAGTAGATTGGAATCTAATGGCATTATAAAGAAGGTAGACTATTCCGATTGGGCGTCGCCCATTGTGCCAGTGTTAAAGAAGGATGGTTCTATAAGAATTTGTGGAGATTATAAAACTACACTGAATAAGCAAATAGAGCTAAATAGGTATCCTATTCCTAACATTGAGGAAATTTCTTTGAATTTGGCAGGAGGAGACAAATTCACTGAATTAGACTTTAGTCATGCTTACACTCAACTAGAACTGCATCCAGATTCAAAAGTCTATATGACAATAAACACACATAAAGGACTCTACCAATATGAAAGACTATGTTTTGGCATATCATCTAGCCCTGGAATTTTCCAAGCTGTCATGGACAGTATTTTTAAGGATATTCCAAATGTTTGTGTGTACTTTGACAATGTGTACATAACTGGTAAGAATGACACTGAACATCTTAAAACACTTGATAAAGTATTGAAAATTGTTGGTGAAAAAGGTTTAAAGATAAACAAAGATAAATGTCAATTCATGCTGACAGAAATTAGTTTTCTTGGTTATATATTGAGCAAACAAGGCATCAGACCTCAACCTGAGAAAACAAAAGCCATTAAAGAAGCACCCAAACCTGAAAATACCCAACAACTAAGAGCTTTTTTGGGCTTGATAAATTACTATGCAAAGTTCATAGGGAATCTGTCTGGTAAACTATCACCACTGTACAAGCTGCTACAGAAAAATGCAACTTGGCACTGGAGTAAACAGCAAGAAGCTGCTTTTAATACAGCAAAGGAGGCTTTGTCTGCTGACACCTTACTAACTCACTATGACCCAGGGAAAAGACTTATATTAACATGTGATGCTTCACCAGATGGTGTAGGAGCAGTCTTGTCCCACATGGATGAGAAGGGTGACAGACCCATTGCTTTTGCCAGTAGATCTTTGAACCAGGCTGAGAAAAATTATTCTCAGTTAGATAGGGAAGGCTTAGGCATCATTTTTGGTGTTAAGAAATTTCATAAGTTTCTGTTTGGTAGGAAGTTCACCATCTTTACAGATCATAAACCATTGCTAGGTTTATTTGGAGAAAACAAAACCCTACCTGAGCATGCCTCACCAAGAATTCAAAGATGGGCTATCACACTAACTGCATACAATTATGAATTGAAATACAAACCTGGATCTGAGAATAGTGCAGATAGTCTTAGTAGATTACCTTTAAAAAACCAAAGCCTGAGCTATGTACCAGAAGATGTATTTGTTCTCTTCACTATCATGGATAACTCCAATATAAATGTGAATGATATTAAAAGAGAAACACAAAAAGATGAGTGCTTAATAAAAGTATATGAGTACTGTAAAAATGGTTGGCCTGAAGAATCTGTGAATGATGACTTAAGGCCATATAAAATAAGAAATAAAAACCTTTGGGAAGATAATATAAAAGATGGAGAAGATGCAGTCCATTATCAGTCAGAGTTGCCTAAACAAAGTATTTGTAACTTAATAAATGATTATGGTGATATGGCAATTTCAAATGTTTTAAAGAAAATACATTAGTAAGAAGGAATGTGATCATCAAACAACTTTGCTAACATCATTAGCACTTACAGAAACTAAAAGGGTAACATCAAAAGAAGAAAAAGATTTTTGCCATTTAATACACCCACTTCAAATACTGGATCACAGTTGCAAAGTGATATGGTCCAGAATATTACTTTTAAACAGTATTTTTGGTTACCAGGAAAGCACTATCAGATTACCTGAGAAAATTGATCAATCAAAGAAATCTATGTTAGTTAAGGATCTGAATAATAGCATAATACTTTCAGATGCCAATTCAAAAATAGTTCCATTAAATCATGACAAAACATTCATTGAAAGAGAATTTGGTGTTAATAAGAATGTGTATCTAAGAAATTATGGGAGAAAGGAAAAATGGATACCAGGTCAAATTGTTCAATGTACAGGACCTGTGTCTTATGAAGTTAAAAATAACTTGTGCAGATAATAAGTGTGAATCTGTCAATCCCACCAAATCTGAACAGTTCACACCAACTCAGTTTGTTCCACAACCAAGTTCTGTTGATATGAGTGAACCAAGTTGTCTGGAGTCAGAAAATGTAAATTCTGGAGTTAATGATTTAAATCCTAGACCTCCTGAGATAGAGAATCCATATGGTCAGAATCTTGAGTCACCAAATCAAAAGCCACTGAGAAGGTCAAGCAGGACAATCAAAGTCCCAAATAAGTTAGACCTATGATTTTAAAGGTCAAAAGGACTTTGACATCATTGTTTTGTATCTTGATTATGTTGTAGCATATTGTGCATTGTTTGTAAGGACGTAATCTACCATAGTGTTCATGTTACAATATAATTGGTGATTTTAGGATACTATCAATTGTTCTATTGAGAGATGTGTTATTGTGTTCTAAGGGTAAAGGGATGTAATAGATTGAGATAATTGTGAGGTCAAGGGAACTCACTCTTCTGTATTAGTATTATATTTATATTGTTATCTTGAGTGATGTCCCTTACATATATATAAATAGTTGTCTCTCGCCACTTCCTTCCTCTTGCTGGTACCATCATGTAGTTAGACCCAATAAACGTTTTATATACAACCACATGCTTCTATCGTCAATCTATTATAAGTAGAATAAAATGAACGAGCCGACCCGCGGCATATCATACTCCGCTATTTAGTTGTTTTTTCTACTTTTCAGTTATTCATAATTTGTGAATTCGACAGTACCAACGCTGCCACTGAAAATATTTCTTTAAAACACTATAAGTAGCTCGTTAAGGACGATAACCCCCCCCCCCCCTCCGTTAAAGTAAACTCCACTTTGTTACCCCCCCCCCCACGTTTAAAATAGTTTCAAACTAAATTATCTGCCCCTAATAGTCGTCACTAAACCCGGCTCTGTTTGTAAACATTTAGAGTGAACCACAGCTCACCAGACCATGTAGGGGTGGGGGTGGTAGGGAGCGTGTTTACTGCTTGTTTTCTAGCGTCTCCCAGAAGAGAATTATATATATAGAATTTTTAATAACATTGGACCGCACCATTTTGGACATTAACTCTAATGTACACACCTCAAGTCTATCAGCTTCTTGAAGCATCAATATTGCTGTGTCCTGTTTGCTTGACAAATTGCAAGGTGCTATGTTTTCAAACATGATATCAGTGCGCAGTATGTATTTTGTGCCACTCCTTAGACAGAAACATTTTTATTAAACATAGCAAACTTAACAAATGAAAGAAAATACTTTAATTGTTTGAGGTTCTTAAATTTAATAGAGGATGGTACTCTATGACTATGGCACTTAAAACTGACAGCAAAAAGTGAAGACATTGTAGATAATAGAATAGGCTATAAAAAAATTATTGCAACTTAGCTGAGACTAAAAGTAATTTATATATATTAATCAGTAAATACCTTACACAATTAGAAAGTACTTAAGTTTTTTCTTTTAGAGGTTTATAAATAACTTTTACCCTAATTTCTCGCCTTCGTGTAAACGGTTATGGTTAAATATTATTGCCAGTCCTGTTTCTGGTTTGACTTTGCAAAGAATGTTTTTTTCCTCTGCACAGTACTTCCCATCAGGACCCTTACAAAATATAAATAAAAATTATTTGTTGGGACAGCTTGATACATCAAAATCCAACATGTTCATGGTCAAGTAATTCTGATTTTAAATATGTTATAAAACTATAACTTGAGGAAAAGAAGAATTACTTCAACAATAACTATAATTTACTTACTTTATACAGTTTTTGTGAAGTGTCAATAAAATTTGTGCTGCCTCCTGAGAAATCACCATTTAGGTACACCATGAAAGTTTGGAGTGACCTTTCTGTAGCAGAACGAACAAAAAATCCATCATTATGGGGAGCAAAGTGTCCACCTACTTTGTATCGTGCAAGACGAAATACCTTAAAAGCAGATAAAGAAATTCGATACATTTGGATGACAATCATTTGCTTCTGTAATAGATTGAAATAATTGTGAGGTCAAGGGAACTCACTCTTCTGTATTAGTTATATTTATAATATTGTTATCTTGAGTGATGTCCCTTGTGCATTGTACTTCCTCCCGTCCTCTCTGTGTCTTACCATCATGGCGTCTGTACATAATAAAGGCTGTTATATACAACCACAGGCTTCTGTCGTCAATCTATTATAACTGGCGACGAAGGATAAACATCTACTAGAAAGAGCACCTACTTACGCAAAAAAGAGGTTTGCTAGAGCTTATTAGCTAATTATTTCTAGAATTATGGCGCTGTATGGCCAAATAAAAGAATTTGATGCGAATGATGAAATCATTCAAGATTACCTAGAGAGGTTAAGCTTTTACCTAGAAGCTAACAACGTGACGATAGAAGCCAAAAAGAGAGCTGTTTTGTTAACAGTCATAGGGCCTCAACAATTTAGGCTACTAAAAGACTTATGCGCACCAGCCAGTCTAACTACCAAGAGCTTTAACGAGCTGAGCAAATTGCTAACAGACCACCATGCGCCTACCCCATCAAAGTTTTTATGTAGAGCTAGATTTGACAGTAGGACTCGTCAACCAAACGAGTCAATAACAGAATATGTTGCTGCTTTACGTCATTTAAGTGAATTTTGTGAATTCGGCGATACGCTGTCTGACAGACTATGTGAAAAGTTTGTGACAGGTGTAAACAGCCCTGATATTCAAAGAAAGTTGCTGCTCGAGTCAGATCTAAAATTGGAAAAAGCAATACAACTCGCAACTTCAATCCAGCAGTCATCAGATGCGGCGAGATCTTTAGCACCTTCAGAGATCCATGCAGTAAACAGCAGGTTAGTCAATAAACATCAACCCCATCAGAGCATTCCAACTTATGCTAAACAGCCTGCTCGTTCAAATCCTAGATCTAAATCTAGTAATAATTATCAAAAATGTCATCGATGCAAAGGTCCCCATGCATCTCATCGGTGCAAGTTCAAGTTAGCAACTTGTTATAAGTGCGGTAAGCAAGGTCACATTGCCAAGGCCTGCTTTGCAAAGTCTTCGTCTGTTGCTAAATCTAGCCAGTCAAGACAGTACCGCAACCAAAGGCAGCACTATGTTAACTCTCACCAAGACTACCTAACCCAACCAATGAACCACTCTACCTGTGAAAATGCTCAAACTGATTCGCAGCCGGATTTCAACCTGTTCTCTGTGAAATCAATAAGTCATGCTCCCATCAATGTACCAGTTAATATCAACGGTAAGAGCATCAGCTTCCAACTTGACACTGGAGCATCTCTAACAGTCATAACAAAGAAAGAGTTTGACGCTGTCACAGAAGGATCAGTGCCTCTACAGCCGTGTCACAAGTGTTTAACAACATACACTGGTGACAATGTTCCGGTAATAGGAGAGTGTATGGTTCATGTAAGTTATAATGGTCAAAGTGTTAAACTTCCTCTTCTTGTGGTTGAAGGAAATGGACCGCCATTACTAGGTAGGAACTGGTTAAGTGATCTTAAGTTAAATTGGGAGAGTATTTGTTCATTGAAGAATGTAAAAGAATCTAGTCTTACTTCACTAGATAAAGTAATATCTGAAAATAAATGTGTTTTTGGTAATCATGGATTACTAAATGATAGAACAGTGAAGTTAAGCATTAAAGATACAAATCCAAGATACTGCAAAGCTAGAGTTCCACCTTATGCAATGAGGAATAAAATTGAAAATGAGCTAAGTAGATTGGAATCTAATGGCATCATAAAGAAGGTAGACTATTCCGATTGGGCAACGCCCATTGTGCCAGTGTTAAAGAAGGATGGTTCTATAAGAATTTGTGGAGATTACAAAACTACACTGAATAAGCAAATAGAGCTAAATAGGTACCCTATACCTAACATTGAGGAAATTTCCTTGAATTTGGCAGGAGGAGACAAATTCACTGAATTAGACTTTAGTCATGCTTACACTCAACTAGAACTGCATACAGATTCAAAAGTCTATACGACAATAAACACACATAAAGGACTCTACCAATATGAAAGACTATGTTTTGGCATATCATCTAGCCCTGGAATTTTCCAAGCTGTCATGGACAGTATTTTTAAGGACATTCCAAATGTTTGTGTGTACTTTGACAATGTGTACATAACTGGTAAGAATGACACTGAACATCTTAAAACACTTGATAAAGTATTAAAAATTGTTGGTGAAAAAGGTTTAAAGATAAACAAAGATAAATGTCAATTCATGTTGACAGAAATTAGTTTTCTTGGTTATATATTGAGCAAACAAGGCATCAGACCTCAACCTGAGAAAACAAAAGCCATTAAAGAAGCACCCAAACCTGAAAATACCCAACAACTAAGAGCTTTTTTGGGCTTGATAAATTACTATGCAAAGTTCATAGGGAATCTGTCTGGTAAACTATCACCACTGTACAAGCTGCTACAGAAAAATGCAACTTGGCACTGGGGTAAACAACAAGAAGCTGCTTTTAATACAGCAAAAGAGGCTTTGTCTGCTGACACCTTACTAACTCACTATGACCCAGGGAAAAGACTTATATTAACATGTGATGCTTCACCAGATGGTGTAGGAGCAGTCTTGTCCCACATGGATGAGAAGGGTGACAGACCCATTGCTTTTGCCAGTAGATCTTTGAACCAGGCTGAGAAAAATTATTCTCAGTTAGATAGGGAAGGCTTAGGCATCATTTTTGGTGTTAAGAAATTTCATAAGTTTCTGATTGGTAGGAATTTCACCATCTTTACAGATCATAAACCATTGCTAGGTTTATTTGGAGAAAACAAAACCCTACCTGAGCATGCCTCTCCAAGAATTCAAAGATGGGCTATCACACTAACTGCATACAATTATGAATTGAAATACAAACCTGGATCTGAGAATAGTGCAGATAGTCTTAGTAGATTACCTTTAAAAAACCAAAGCCTGAGCTATGTACCAGAAGATGTATTTGTTCTCTTCACTATCATGGATAACTCCAATATAAATGTGAATGATATTAAAAGAGAAACACAAAAAGATGAGTGCTTAATAAAAGTATATGAGCACTGTATGAATGGTTGGCCTGAAGAGTCTGTGAATGATGACTTAAAGCCATATTAAATAAGAAATAAAAACCTTTGTGAAGATAATATAAAAGATGGAGAAGATACAGTCCATTATCAGTCAGAGCTACCTAAACAAAGTATTTGTAACTTAATAAATGATTATGGTGATATGGCAATTTCAAATGTTTTAAAGAAAATACATTAGTAAGAAGGAATGTGATCATCAAACAACTTTGCTAACATCATTAGCACTTACAGAAACTAAAAGGGTAACATCAAAAGAAGAAAAAGATTTTTGCCATTTAATACACCCACTTCAAATACTGGATCACAGTTGCAAAGTGATATAGTCCAGGATATTACTTTTAAACAGTATTTTTGGTTACCAGGAAAGCACTATCAGATTATCTGAGGAAATTGATCAATCAAAGAAATCTATGTCAGTCAAGGATCTGAATAACAGCATAATACTTTCAGATGCCAATTCAAAAATAGTTCCATTAAATCATGACAACTCATTCATTGAAAGAAAATTTGCAGTTAATAAGAATGTGTATCTAAGAAATTATGGGAGAAAGGAAAAATGGATACCAGGTCAAATTGTTCAATGTACAGGACCTGTGTCTTATAAAGTTAAAAATAACTTGTGCAGATAATAAGTGTGAATCTGTCAATCCCACCAAGTCTGATCAGTTGACACCAACTCAGTTTGTTCTACAACCAAGTTCTGTTGATATGAGTGAACCAAGTTGTCTGGAGTCAGAAAATGTAAATTCTGGAGTTAATGATTTAAATACTAGACCTCCTGAGATAGAGAATCCAGATGGTCAGAATCTTGAGTCACCAAATCAGAAGCCACTGAGAAGGTCAAACAGGACAATCAAAGTCCCAAATAAGTTAGACCTATGATTCTAAAGGTCAAAAGGACTTTGACATTATTGTTTGTATTTTGATTATGTTGTAGCATATTGTGCATTGTTTGTAAGGATGTAATCTACCATAGTGTTCATGTTACAATATAATTGGTGATTTTAGGATACTATCAATTGTTCTATTGAGAGATGTGTTATTGTGTTCTAAGGGTAAAGGGATGTAATAGATTGAAATAATTGTGAGGTCAAGGGAACTCACTCTTCTGTATTAGTTATATTTATAATATTGTTATCTTGAGTGATGTCCCTTGTGCATTGTACTTCCGTCCTTGCCGGTTAACAATTAAAGCTGTTTACATACTCATGGCTTCTGTCTCCGTTGTATTCATAATCTACCTCAGCTTCGAACATCTGAGCTTAAATATTTTATTTTAAACTTAGCCATATTTTAGTATAAAACATGCAAAGTCTAATAAACAACCAGATGAGGTGTCAATAATTAGGTTTAAAAAAACACACAAAGAAATAACTTACATCATTTAGACCTTTGGGAACCCATGTGCCTTTCATCAAAAGTGGAACACCTTCAATATGTAAATTAAGGGGATCTTGGTCAATTACAATAGTTTTCAAATGCCCCTGTATTCTCTTCCACAAAATTGAAGCAAGTTTTGAGCTTTGAAATGACAGTCTGAAACATAAAGCATTAACCTGATGAACACACTTTTACATCCATATTTCATTTTTTATATCTATAAATAATTAAATGCAATATAAAAATGACTTAGGCTTATAAATCTATTATTTTAATGTTAAAAATCTACTTTTTAAAATTCTAAAATACAAGTATTAGAAAACTAAATTAAAAAAAAATTATAAATATGACTTAATCTACTGAAGTTAAGCATTGGTTTTTATTTATGTGCCAGTATAATAAATGTAATAATAAAATAAGCACCCTTATATTTCTAAATGCGCATGTCATAAATATATTGCGCTATATAACCATGCAGAAAAAAAATTCGCTGCACATACTAAGATATGTGATAATTAATAATAAATATAATTTATGTTTACAAAAGTAACATCACAATGTGTTAACTTAATGAATTTGTGAGTATTAAATAGTCTAAAAGCCATTCTTATCTCAATTATCCCAGTTTTTACCTCTGTGAGCTTCTGTAATCATCTCTAGAATACAAAATTTCACTGAAGCCTACTCTCTCTCCTGCTTGGATAAAATGCTGACATTCTTCTGGTAGTAAAACACTTTTCAACAAAAAACATTCATCGCCATAATCCAACACCTCAGTTCGACTGATGGCACTATTATCAAATTCGTTATCATCTAGTGAGGGAAAGTCAGTAATTAAGTCAGCACCATCAATTTGTATTTCTCCTGATTTACTTGCGTCTTCCTCTAGTCCAGGGATATACTCTTGTTTTTCCATATCACTGTAGTATGAAAAACCCCAGGCATAGAGAAAATATTTTAAGTTATGCATTATTTTTTAATACATTTATGTATTTGGGGTCTATATATAGGTCCCTATATATATATATATATATATATATATATATATATATATATATATATATATATATATATATATATATATATGTAGGCCCTATATTATACATATATAGGCCTATATACTATATAATATATATATAGGCCTAATATATATATATATATATAGGCCTATATATTATATATATATGTATATAGGCCTAATATATTATATTATATTTTATATATATATACATATATATATATATATATATATATATATATATATATATATATATATATATATATATATATATATATATATATATATATATGCCTCTATACAGGCCAGTATAATTATTAAAATATAATAATAATATATAGGCCTACATAGAGTCTAGATCTATATGGGCACATTATTGACATTATTAAATTAAATTAATCATTTTAGGCTTACCCTTTTTGAACCTATTGGTTTGCCTCCTTGCTGATTTACGAAAAAGGACGTATAAGCCCTATGACTACATTACAATATATCTATATATATATATATATAGTATATTTAACTATATACTATATACTTATACATACAGTATATTCTGAGTATATACTAGTATATAGTTACAGTATATACTAGTATACTAGTATATAAGATTAAGTATTAAAGTATTAAGCATATAAAACGCAGTGCGAGATAAAAAAATCTAGATCTGAACTCCAAATGTATTCTATGTAAGTTTCTACTTTTTAAAACAATAGTTTAGTATAGACCTACGCCGTTAAACTAATGTTTATGAGTTTTATGTAGCTATGCGTACTGTGAACTGTCTATTCTCTGTGATAATTTTCTATTTATATTCCTCTATCTACAGGGAGTAGCCTGCGTTGCATCACGTTTTGAAATTTATTTCAGCTAAGTACAACAATAAAAACAACCGTTCATTTGTAGTGTGAACTTAATTTTTATTTTTGAACATTTTACATACTTAAAAAGAAAAACTAAAATTACATCTCTTTTTGGCTAAATATGGGTACTATATAGAAATTACTTCATTACACTATAGCATTTTTACTTGTACTATTATTATTATTAACTTTTATATTTTGGCTGGACATTTTTATTTTTATTTGGCAATAACAAAACAAACCAATCAAATCGCAAAATTAAATCAGGCCTAAAGCCTAGTGTAACGGGCCCATCCTGGACTTAGAGGCTGGGTTGGACTGACGTATTAAAGAGATCCGGCAAATAAATTGATTTATAAGCGACCCCTTCTCAAGTTGAGTTTTCATAGTGCATTTTTCCCATCTTAGTCCACCCACGCACCGTCCGTACCACCCCGGAGGCGCCAATCCGAACATTTTACATACATTTTATTTCAATTTAAGAATCTCGGTGTCAAATTTAAGTTAGTTTAATCTCACCCGAACTATCGTGCGGATGGTAGATCAACTTCTGCTTTATATCCTACAGATTTTGAATATCAATTTGTTTTAAGTTATTTCAAGTTTAGAGCTTCTTTCAGACGTATTTAGCACGCCCCCCCCCCCTCCCTCCATCCGAACGAAATAGAAATAAAATAAACTTGTAGGTCATGTCATGTTTGCCTGTCGTCCCTACTGGGACATAGGCCGCTGACAAGAGCTTTCCAGACGTCTCTGTCCAGGGCTAGTTTCTCCAACTGTCCCCAGGTGTATCCAATCTTCTTGGTGTCTTCTTCCAGGTCACGTCTCCAGGTCTTTCTTGGTCTGCCTCTCTTCCTCCTGCCTTGTGGATTCCAGGTGAGGGCCTGTCTTGTTATGCTGGATACAGGCTTCCTGAGTGTGTGGCCAATCCATTTCCATTTTCTCTGGAGGATCTCTACTTCCACTGGCAGTTGATTTGTCCGTTGCCATAGAACATCATTTCTGATGGTTTTAGGCCAGCGAATTCGCAGGATCTTTCTGAGACATGCGTTTATAAATGATTGTATTTTCTTCTTATTTATAGCAGTTATTCTCCATGTCTCGGCTCCATAGAGTAAAACAGGTTTTACTAGTGTGTTGAAGATCCGGATTTTTATTCTAAGGGTTAAATCTCCCGAACCCCAAACATTTTTTAGTTGGTTGAAGACTGCTCTTGCCTTACCCGTCCTTATTTTTATGTCTGCTTCTGTCCCACCCTGCTTATCAACAATACTTCCAAGGTAGGTGAATCTATCCACTTCTTCTAGGGCTTCTTCTGCCAGTGTTATAGGGTTGCTGTTTGATGCATTGACTTTGAGAACTTTACTTTTCCCTCTGTGGATGTTCAGACCCAGGCTTGTAGAAAAATTTGCAACCCTGTTGGTTTTATCCTGCATTTGCTGTTGTGTGTGAGAAAGGAGGGCCAGGTCGTCAGCAAAGTCCAGGTCATCCAGCTGGCTCCACAATGTCCACTGTATACCGTTTCGCGTTTTCTCTGTTGACATCTTCATAACCCAGTCTATGGCCAGTAGGAACAGGAATGGTGAAAGTAGGCAACCCTGCCTTACTCCGGTCCGTACTGGGAAGGCCTCTGTAGTCTGTTGGCCATGCACTACTCTACATTTGAGACCTTCATATGAAGACATAATAATGTTGACTATTTTCTGTGGCACCCCGTAGTGTCTCAACAATTTCCACATTGACTGCCTATCCAGGCTATCAAAGGCCTTCTCATAGTCTATGAAATTAATATAGAGAGATGAGTTCCACTCTTGGGTCTGTTCAATGATGATGCGCAGGGTAGCAATTTGGTCTATGCATGACCTTTCCTTCCTAAAGCCCGCCTGTTGATCTCGAAGCTGGGGATCTATGGCTTCCTTCATTCTGTTTAATAATATTCTGTTGAAGACTTTGCCTGGGATGGACAAAAGTGTTATCCCTCTATAGTTAGAGCATGCACTAAGATCGCCTTTCTTTGGAAGCTTTATGAGTAGTCCCTCCTTCCACTCCTCTGGTATTTGTTCATCTTCCCAGATTTTCTTGAAGAGTGTGTATAGTAGTGTGGTGCTAGTTTCTATATCTGCTGTCAGTGCTTCTGCCGGTATACCATCTATTCCTGGAGCCTTCCAATTTTTCAGCTGCTTTATAGCTCTATGTATCTCTTCTTTTGAAGGTGGGTTGCAGTCTATATGGAGGTCACTTTCAGCTGGTGGTATGTCTTGCGTGCACTCTGGTGTTGGTCTATTCAGTAGTTCTTCAAAATGTTCTACCCATCTCTTCATCTGTCCTTCCGCATCAGGTATTGTCTTTCCATCTTTGGTTTTCACTGGCCTCTCTGGCTTACTGTACTTACCAGATATCTTCTTAATTGTATTGTACACGTCCTTAATATTACCATGGTACAGTGCTTCTTCCGCTTCTCTTGCCAGCAGTTCCAAATAGCTCCGTTTGTCTTTCCTTATGTGTTTCTTGACATTTTTGTTCGTTTCGGTGTATTCTTCCAGTGCTTTTAATTTCGTAGCCCGTGTGCGGCTGTTGTTTAATGTTGCCTTCTTTCTTTTTCTCTCTACAATAATTTTCATGGTATCTGCTAATATCCATTCCTTCGCTTGTCTTTTGATAGGGCCTAGCACTTCTTCGCATGTTGATGTTAATATACTTTTAGTTTTTTCCCATGTTTCCTCTATCGTCTCTTCTTCTATTAGTTCTTGTAGTACCTGGAACCTATTGGACATATATATTGTAGGCCTAAATAGAAAATATATACTTCTACACTTAAAAGTGTCCGCCCTCCCCCCCCCCCCCCCCCCCAGGAAATTAAGTACGCCCCACCAAGGAAAAATGTCTGAAAGAGTAAGTTTATATTGTTTGAAGAATGATATTATGCTGATGAATTAAGCATGTAGAGGTGCGGGTATGTGTAGCCCTGTAGGGTGACTGTGCATAGTAAATGTGATGAGCTTAACCGTCCATTAGGCAGACGAAGTAGCGTTTATCTGTGACCACGGCATATGAAGCAGTCAACAATTTGCCTGACCACCTATACTTTCCCTAACATGAGTCAAGCACCCATCAGGACTAGGTGGACCCCAATGTTTCTTCCAGAATTTTTTCTCCGGGGGGGGGGGGGGGGCGGACACTGTTAAAAGTAAATATTTTCTATATAAACTATATAAATTTCATTTCGTCCGGGGGGGGGGGGAGGGGTAGAATTTTTTCGGGGGGGGGGGGGGGGGTTGCCCCCCCCCCCCCCCTCCCCGAAGAGATGCCTGGAAGAAACTCTGGTGGACTCAGGGACGTCCAGCGCACTCGAGTCCATGATATGAACTCGAGACCCTCGGCCACGCTGTTTTCCTCAGAAAGAATGTAGATCTAAATATTGTGGAACAGGCTCATGTTTGACTAAATAATAGATCTAGTATTTTTAAAAATTAAAAATACCATTTACCATTCAAACTGTAACAGTGGGCTATAGTCTAGTTATTTTATTATTTGGGATTCAAACTCTTCAAAGAGCTAAAATACCTACATTGTAATATGTCTATAGAAAATAATTATTTGATCTCATTATCATCTCTGTGAGTGGACATGCAGATGCAGTATGCTCGGATAGAAAACGATCTAAAATTGACCTTTCATATTGAAAAACATATTGTAAGCGTATATAACTATATATGGCTATGTTCTTATTGTTCTATGCACGGCAAGTAATAAATGAAGTGGTTCTTTCAACCCATGTGGGATGTGATCTCGATTCAGCGGCGTAGCCAAACTTAACTAATGTCATACAATGTTGTAGCACACATTAAATAACCGCAGATATATACTCCATATTAAAAAATAACTTTCTTGCGTAGTCTTAAGTAAAAAAGAAATATTTTTTCGCTAGAGAAAATAAAAAAAAAAAATATAAATTTGCTCGTAAGTAGGCCTATAGATTAGTTCAAATTTAACCTACTTATTAACTGTAGTTGAGTACACTTAATTTTGATTTTTTTTAACGCTAACATAAATTGGATTGGGGGGGGGGGTGGTGATAAAAAACGTTTGATAAAGCATTCAATTTGTATAACTTCTAAGACAAACATTAACGAAAAACATTTTTTGTTACGATCATGATTATTTTAAGAGCGTAGGCTGACAGGCTGACATTCTGACCACTTTTACTTGGAGAAAAAAATTCCATCAAATGATAGCCTACAATTGTATTTTTTTCTATTTCGTTCGGATGGAGGGATGGGGGGGGGGGGGGGCGTGCTAAAGATGTCTGAAAGAAGCTCTAAACATAAAATAACTTAGAACAGCAAAAATTTAATATTGGATTTCACAAACAGAAACGACAGTACAATTTGAATTATTATGTATACTATTATATATATATATATATATATATATATATATATATATATATATATATATATATATATATATATATATATATATATATTATATAGTTTGGTTAGGCCTTTTGCCATGTTTATCTGGCAAAAACAAACCACATTAATTCAAGCCAATCAAAACCTTTTGTGGCATGTTTGAAGCTGCCCATCAAAATGGATACTTGAGGATACTCGATGATGTAGTGAAGTGTTGTTTACATACTATTACATAGTCTTAACGAAAATGGAAGATGCTATAATAATAAATAAAATAGACAGAATCAACCACTTGCAATGCTTAATACGTGATGACTTAAAAGAAATTGGAGTAAAACTGCCTAAAGAGAAAAAGGTTAAGAAACAACAACGGAGCCGTAGAAGAAGCAACTCAGTTGCACAACAGGTGAAACAAGTTTTTTCAGGCTTAAATTAAAATTTAAATCGATTTTTTAAAATTTCAGCCTTAGGCTTATACTTATATAGATCTAGATCTACTATTGTGAGTAGATCTAGATCCATACACGTCCCTGTAAAATCCGATTTTAGCGTATTTTATTCGCCGCTTCACGTTCACCTCCGGTTGAGTGTATTTTATTAGGGATTTTGGTAAAAAAGCACTAATCATCATATAAAAATAAAAATTACATATTCTTGTAGAGCTCAACAAAATGAAAACAAAACAAAAAAGATTTTCTGTCTAGCTCAAATAGTTTTTTTTTTGCGAATTTTTTTGTGAGGGGTGGAATCCCCTTACTTTTGCATTGGCCAATTGTGACAAGTCATGGTATACCTGAATAAATTGAGCATAGTTATTTTAATTGCAGTTGTATTTTGTTCATATTTGCAGAGTTTAGCTAGAATGATATATAGAACTTGTAAATGTTGTTGAAATGAATAAAAATAATACAGAACTTATATTTTTGTGTTGGCTTCCTCCCATAACCCCAAAAAACTGTGCTGCGCAAATATGAAAGCCATATTTTATATATATACAGCAAATGAAAGAACTACAAAGTTTGAAACTAAAGTAATTGACTTGAACACTGTTATGTGCATATAATATTATAATTGCCTCATTATTTTGGGCAGGTGAAGTAGAGTCCATCTTTAAGCCATTTTGTTATAAAACTGCTGCGCAAATATGAAAATGTTTCTAAAGCAATATTTTATATAAATACAGTGAATGTAAGAACTACATAGTTAGAAATCTAAATGACTTGAACACTGTAATGTGTATATAACTGCCTTGTTATTTTGGGCAGGTGAAGTAGAGCCCATATAAGCCATTTTGTAATAATTTAAATGAAGTTATCAGATCAATGTTTTTATGTGTGAATAGTGTATGGATTCTGATTTTCAGCATATAACTATATCTAAGGGTAAGTAGAACTTGAATACTTAAAATTACAGTTAGCACAATGCTAGTGTATAGCAACAGACAGGTAACCTAGATCTAGGTCTGACTCTTGTCAGTCTAGTCTGACAAAATTGGATTTTAGGAAAAACATTCTGCAAAACTAGAACTAGAGCTGAAAAAATTAAAGATGGGTATGTAAATATATTCTGAAATAAAAAATTAGGAGATTTGTTTGCACATTCCATAAGAATGCTGTTGTTAGTTGATCAAACTTAAAGGCCGGAAGATCGGGATGAAAAAATATAACAATGGTGGCAACGCGACCTACATACAGTGACCACCTCTAAACGAGTATATCTAATGTCAGAGTCAAAATATCCAAAAACAAATATCATTTCCACATATATAAGATATGTCTGCTCAGTAATCTTCACTCATCTAGAATAACCTTTTAAAAAATCGTGATTCCAACGTATTTGAAACTAGCCTTCATACAGGGGGAAGACCAAGGCAGAGACAGCGTGCAATCAGATCGCTAAGCCATCAAAACAATGGGAAAACCATTCTACTTTTCATTTAACATTAGGAAATGACCTTTTAAACTTAATTAATTACCATAAATTAAAAACTTATTAGTATGCAAAACCAAATCTCGTGTGCCCGGTATCAGAAAGTAATGGGCGATTTCGGGTCATGTTTTTACCGCGATCTCGGCCGATACCGACAAGCCTAATTTTATTCAAACAGTGATTGATTGAAACACAACCGAAACACACAAAATGAAAAATGTTAGGGAAACACTAGGACCTGGATCTACTTATTTGTTTTTAATGAATGTGAGTTTTAATTATAAAAGGTAAAAAAAACACACTAGGGCAGTTCCAATTAAATAGTGTGTGATCGTCAATTGGAGAAAAATCCCAACACGGTTGTGAGCTCACATTGACTTTATTTTAATTAGTCTCTATCAGCATATGTCATAGCTTGGCCAATAGCTATTTGAAATTGTGTGTTGGCCACAGTTTTGAGGGTCATTGTGAGTTCATAAAAGTTTATTTAGGCCCTATAGTAGGCCTATTATAGTATCATGCGTGGGAGGTACTTTTAACAATACAAACTTAACCGCCTTGTAATTGTGAGTTATGTACTTCACCCATTGCCATGAATATCTTAACTGAAACACGAACATAGCACATTCAATAATCCAAATTTGGATTTTTCTCAAGTTTTGACAAAAGTATATTATAAAAAACTAAAACAAATTCATAAAGGAATAAGCCCAATGTTTTCCTAATGTTTCAGTTGTGTTTCTAATAAAATACGCTCAACTGGAGGTGAACGTGAAGTGGGGAATAAAATACGCTAAAATGGAGTTTTATCCCCATCCCCTGTCCACTCCGAATTGTAATTAAAAAAAACCAAGAGATTCTTTCAATCTTTTTAGAGTAGATCTAAAATAGATCTAGATCTAAACTAGTAGTAACGATTCTGATTTAGGCCTAAATCTTTTTATTTTTCGATTTAAACATTTGACATTGCCAATGAAAAACATAGATCAATATTTAATCTATTGAACACTGAATTTCATGATTCTAGCTCATTGGGAGCTATATTAATGAGTTTTAATTTATTTGCAACCCACAGCAGTGCAGGATGTCTTTTTCTGTGACAGTTTATAGACACAAATTGTATAGTCTTGACAAGGCAGCCAATTTGATTTTTGACAGAATGTGCAGCACATTTGATTTCATTACACCATTTCTATTTCATATTTTGTTTAGATTTGTAATAAATAGATTTTTCTTTTTAAAATGTCATCACATTAAAATTAATCACCCGAGATTGAGAAAAAGCATTCCAAACATCCACACGGCCCACGTGTGGTAGATGGCTCACGCACATTGTTTTGTCAATGAGTGTTTATTAATTAGTAATTAAGTCTAGACTCAAGTCTAAAAACAAAGTGAATCAGGCCTAATGAATCTAATAATAATACTAACCGTATATCCTACCTATATACTATATAATTGTATATTATATATAAATGAAGACAAGTGAAAATATAATTTGCCTAATTATAATTAAAATTAATCAAATAAGTAACACAAAATTAGACTATTTGAAAGCATGATGCATATAGTAACTAATAAGTCCGCTAATGCTAAGTCTAGTTGTAGTAGGCAAACTTTCTCAATAACGATTTCGTCATGTTTAAAAGAAATCGTTTTGGTGACTTTTTTATGGTTCCGATTTAACCGTGCCTTCATCAAATTATTCTATTTTTTTCCTCATAAAAAGTTCAATTTAATAATGGCACACACTCTAGGGCCAGTTTGGTTGACTTCTAGTTTTATGTCTACATAATTAAGAAATAACTTAAATTACACAGAAAAACCACAATTTTTCGCATGATTAATATTTTTAATGTTGAGTCACTTGAACAAAGCAAAAAAATAATTGTCCAATCATATGCCAGGTTAGGTAGCCAAATTGTTGTTAGCAACTGACCACTCCCTTTGGGTTTGTGAGCACTGCTAAATAATAGTAGATCTAATATCAATTCAATATGCAAGGAATAGGCCTTGGAAACTTAGATCTGTTCAAACTCTTTTTCGGGTGTTAAAAAATTCCAAAATGGCAAAGGTGGTAAATTGCAAGAAGAAATTGCATAACATACCTGGGGAATAACAGGTAAATAGCGAGACACTGTTTTTGAGACAATTTTTTTGTTTCATTATTTTGGTGGTTTGCTTTTTCACCAGCTGTAGGAGCAGAAAATTCATTAATTAAACATTACAAACAAGTAGGCTTTTCATGGATGTTGTTCTTTATTGTTGCATCTATTTCTATGATTGCCTGCTCATGTTTTCTCGTCAGTGGGCGAAAAATCCTGTCATCTCAGTTGATGGGTTACTGTGAGTTCATTAAGAGAATATTATTTTAGACTAAATCAAGATCTGTAGCCTATATTTAAAAAAAAATTATATCTAGATCTGTATTTAAAACTCAAAACATTGTTGCCTGCTGCTCCCCTGCTCATATTTTCTTGTCTGGGTGAGAAAAATAACACAGGTTGAGGGGTCACAGTCAGTGCATATAAAAACTTTAACTTAGGTCCTAGCCTGAGGAATAGTAATTGACAAATGTGCTTTGCTTGGGGTCATTGTGAGTTCATATAATCTTGTCAGTAATGTCAGCTGGAGAAATATTCAGCCACATTGTTATTATTGTGAGGCCAATACCTACTGATCTTTAACACTTTGTGTTGTTATCTGGCAATGTAAGGCATATTTGTAGAAAGTGTAGAAGTATAAACATTTTATAAAATGTAATTTATTTTTTACTAAGTAAATTTAATTATTAACATTTTTAAAAAATCATCAAAATTGATATTTACACTAAGTTATACGATGAAAGAAAGTTCATGATCAACAATAGTCAGCCACCTTTACTTTCCCTAATGTGAGTCAGGTACCCATCAGAGCAGAGTGTAGTCAGAGTAATCCTACGTACGCAAGTCTAAGATCTAAACTTGAGACTTTTTTCTGGTTAGCAAATGTGCCATCCACTGTCCCACCATATATGCCAACACCAGATTGTAAATAGCCTTAGGTGTTGGGTGTAGTTTTGCACTTGCCAGTCAATGTACTTATTGGTGATGTTCCTCTAATTTTCTTTTTAACAAATTTTTGTATCCCATTGGTTTTTTTGCAGGATAAAACTTTAAAATTATTCGGAGAACCACTTTCTCATGTGCCGTGCACATTTTTACCACAGTATGGCTATGTACCACAGTAAGTTCATAATGCGATACTGTTAAACTAAAATACCATTACTAAATTTAGTAAAATGCAGTATTTGAATGCATATTTTTAAACATATAATTATCTCCATCATAGGTTCTTAATTAATGCTGCAGAAGTTATAGATAAAAACCTCGAAAGTGAAGGAATTTTTCGAAAATCTGGTGCTGTAAGTCGTCAAAAAGACCTAAAGGTAGGAAGTTCAATGCACACATTTCCTATACATATATATGATACATTTTAGTTTACACATTACATATACATTTTTGTATAATTTTTTTTTTAGATATAAACACAAAAAATTATTGATATAAAACCTTAAAAAATATTGTTCTGTTTTAGCTTGCTGTTGATGAGGGCAGATCTCTTGATGGGGCTAATGCCTATGATGTGGCTGTATTAATAAAGCAATTTCTTCGTGAACTGCCGGAGCCATTGTTTATTTCAATTTATAATGAATCTTTCATCAAATGTTATCAGCTGCCTGCTGATAAAGACCCTGTGAGTGTTTTGTTTTTGTATCAAGTATAAAACACAATTTAAAATTGTCAGAATAAATGGTTTTATTTTTGAAAACCTCAAGTTTCATCATAAAGCTTCATTAAAATTGTCAGAAATTTTATTTCTATGACATGAATTTAACCTTTGAAGCATTGTTAACTTCTGAATGAACAAGATATTTATTTCTCACATTTAGAAAAAAGCCCTCCTCCAGATGTGCCTCCTCCTGCCAATTGAAAATATAGGCACCTTGAGGTACTTGCTTCACCTGCTCTCCAGGGTGGCCAACAACTGTGAGAAAAACAAAATGACGGCCAACAACCTGGCCCTAGTGATGGCCCCTAATTTAATGCACAACAACAAAGGCGGGGAGAAGATGAGCTCGGCCGAAGAAAAGCTCTTGCACATCCAGGCATGTATTGTGGAAGTTTTAATCAAGCACTGGGAATTGGTTGGAATGGTCAGCACAGCACTACAACAGCAGGTTAGTTTTATTTTGGGTTGGCTTTCTCTGTAGATGTGAATATATATACATCACATGTTGGCCTTGGTTTGGTTAAAATGTGCTGCTTTTGTTGTAGATGTTGGCCTTGGTTTGGTTAAAATGTGCTGCTTTTGTTGTAGATGAGCTTGATGTCAGAATGTTTTGGGACTGATGATGATCTGGATGCTAGTGATGATAATACATTGGGAGATTCCAAAGATGTCTCTCATAAAAAGAGAAGAAAAAGAAGTGGCTCATTGACAGGTTATTTTGCCTTATTAAAATATCTTTTTATTCATTTAGATTGGACAGTAATGCAATTAGATTTTTTAAAACAGGCCATATAATTCTTTCCTGGTTAATTTATTTTATTTTTTGGTATAGGATTCAAAACCTATCACACAGTATTACAATTGGCTACTTTGTTTATCCTAATAACCTGAAGATTATATATTTTCTCATCAAAAAAGATTTAATTTTAAAGTAGTATTCTGCTATTGTACAGGTCTAGTTAGCTCCATCGCCCAAGGTTTTGCCAAACTGCGTCGCAGCACAGATGGCAGGAGTATAAACATGTCATCTAACAGCACCTACCCAGGGGAACTGTCGCTTGCCTCTGTGGATTCCTCTAACCTGACCCAGCAGGAGATGTCACTCAACAGTGTGACACCTTGTGTCATGAGGAAGAGACGGGCCTCAGGGGAAACTGTGCCATTTTCTGCTTCTAAGAAGTAAGTACATAACTTGGCAATCTATATTCGTCTAACTTTAAATACCATTTACTGGCCTTTTGTTTTAGCAGGTAAAATATTTTATAAGTAAATTAAATCATAGTTTTTAAAGTGTGCACTTAGTAACATATTTTCTTTTATTTTTACATCCAATGTCTCTAAAATTTTATTTTATTAATGATTGGAAGTTGCACTTTTGATTTGTTTTCAGAGTTTAAACACTATTTTACCTAAGCTCAATTTTATAACTTTGTTTGGTTGTTTATTTAAAACAAATTTATTTATAAATTGTAAGTCTTACCTGATTCTCTCTGATAATTGGCTATTGCATGAAAATTGTTTATAAATTTATTTTTAGGAAAGCAATTCTAGGCAACTTACCACAACGATCAGCCCTCGCATCTACGCCTTTTACTCCAGCTTCCAATATGAAGAAAGGTCTTCACTGTAAACCTAAAGGTAAGATAGCTTTCTTCAAGTGAGTCTGCAAATCATTCTAGAATCATTAACTAAAAGAATTTAGCTATTCATTTAAAAAATTTGTCTTGTTTCATAGACTTGGATGTCACTGATACGCCTCAGCTGAATGCAACCACCCCAGCTCTTGGTGTGAAGACTGCACGTAAAAAACTGAGCCTCTTTGCTTCTCCAAATAGTCACAAGAAAGTTAAAAGGTAAAGTTTTAAATTGAAATGTTACACTCCATCCTCTTATTTTAAATGCATATTAAGTAATAACACATAATAAATAATTTGCTGTTATTAAAATCTGTTGCCTAGAACATAATTTTCTGCACAATAGTAAATATTTTAATATTTATCAGACTCGTAAAGCCTGAAGTATATAATTTTTGGTGCCAGTTTTCTAAAAATAATATGACAAATTACCAGTCCAAACTATTAGTAGCAAATGCCAATTTGCTACTATTTTGTACCTTGATTTTGTTTATTGGTTATACTGTGTGAAATAGCAGGTTTTTGTCTACCATGTTTTTCAGGCAAACTTCAGCGTCCGCCCGAATAGAGTCACCCCCAACCCAAGTCAAGCCTGGGAAAAGTAAAAGTATATTTAGAAGGCTTAGTGGGAACCGTGAAAAGGTAAGCTGTTTGATTCTGATTTTATTGGTTAAATTGTTTGGGTTCTTCTGTAGTGTTGACCTGTTGTTAGCTACAAGACCAATTCTTAGGGTTAGAGTAATTGATCTGTTAAAATTATACAATAGTGTAGTTTTTTCCTGTGAATTCTGTTAGTCTTTGGATAACAGTCGACAGTACAAGCAATAATATATATTTGCTTTGATACGACTTGTTAGCATTTTTACAAGTAACAGTTTTGTTATTTATGGGACGGAGTGGCCTAGCAGTAGAGAGCCAGACTGTTAACCCAGAAGTCTTAAGTTTCAATCCGGGTTCAAGACAGTAGACTGCCCCCGAGTCCACCCAGCTCTGATGGGTACCTAACTTACATTAGGGAAAGTAAAGGCGGCAGGGCATAGTGCTGACCACACTATCCCTTTATATGCTGAGGTCACAGAAACAGGTGAACTCTACTTCACTTGCCCCATGGACCATCATGTTTGGAAGGGGAACTTTACTGTTTTTTACTACTATTTTGTTATTTATTTGTTAAAACATGTTAGCCTACATTCCTTATGTCTTATATTACTTCTTTGAGAGAATTCTTGTACCAGGTTGTTTATAATGGTATTTATAATTCTTACAGGTGGATTTTGTTGGGGAACGTCTAGCATACTCAGTTCATGCATCACCCAAAAGTACCTTGTCAGATTCCATCCTGTTTGAACAGAAGGGCAACATACTACGCAGTCTGTCCTCCCCCACTCTACAAGATGTGGAGTTCTCTGTCTTGGCCGTGGATGATGCTGTATCCCTGAACAAAGGCTTTATTGATGAGCTGGAGGAACAGAACCTTGCCAGACAGGCATGCAGCTCTTCAGTTGGGGATGTTAGCCGACAGGGCCTGGATGCTGTGGACTCTGTCAGGGTTCCAGTGAGGTCCAAATCAGTGGACAGCCCTTGCCTGAAGCGAGGCCAGCCTAACACAATATACAACGGGCTGTTAAAAGGAGACCCGGGATCTGGGGCTAAACACAAAGGCAAGCTGGACAAGTCTTTAATTAGTGGACCAAGCCCGATTATTGTTCCTGTGCTGGACAACGCATTGGCCATTAAACCTGACAGTGCATTGAGAAGGAGCAGGAGAGATGACTTTGAAAGAGCAAGGATGAGACGCGTGAAGCCGGGGAGCTCTTGTGAGAGGGAAACAAATTCCCGACTGTTGTCTTGTGATATGGACAAGAGTGTGGCGTCGCAGCTGGACGTCAGTTTGATGGAAGTTGTTTTACCACCTCCGCAAGGCTTTGGGGATCAGACCGTATGTGAGGACAAGGTCTCGCACGCGGAAGACGAAGATGAGGAAATCGACGTCGGCTCTGATTTAGAATCCGAGGCTGGGTTTTCCACCATTTCTGGGGGGACGGTAATTCGTAGGGCTGAGACTGGCCTGTATTACAAGCCAGGGGTTACTTCTCTCTCTGGATCATCCATTGTAAGCTCGGTCTCATGTGATTCTCTAATGAAGCCAGCCAGCACAATGGTATCCCAGCTGCAGCCTTCAATAAGCGTGGACAGCTTGCTGTCAGTAGAAAGCCGGATGTCCTCTCACAACAGCACATTGTCAACTCTAGGGCTCAGCATTTCATCTGACAGCGGGAAGGGCTCAATGCTTGGGGAAACATCGGATCAGTTCAGCATCTCATCTGAACACACCAGTGGTTCTCAAATCCATGAGGTTGTGATGAGGCACCAAGGGTCTAATAAAACCAAATGTATTCAGTCAGTGCTTGAGGACAGCAGAGGGTTGCAGATGCTGTGTGAGAACTACACATCAATGTCTGAAGACGACTCCACTGAGTCGAAGTCCCTGGACACCACCTTAGGCTCCCACCTTGACGAGTTAGAAAACATGCCAACACAGTCAGATGTGTCACGCAAGAAATCAATATCTGCTGAAGACCTACAAGCGGCTGAAAACAAGGTCAGTGTACCAGTGCGTGCTCACAGCATGTACGTATCTCCTTGTAAAAAGTTCCACTTCAAACCACATTTAGAAATAACGAAACAAACCCACAACATCCTGGCCCGGGCTGGATTTTTTAAACCTTCAGAAACAAAGTCCAACGTCAAGGATGTGCAGGTGCCAGTGAAGTCACCCAAACGCTCAAGCTACAGAGAAGAGATGATGATGTCACTACGGTCTAGCTTCCATGAGCGCCACACAAGGTTGAATTCTTCTCTACGGTCACTGAGAAGTCTACCCAACAGATCTTTTGAGCACTCAGCGAGCTCTAAACCTGAACCACTCACCCTGACTAGAAAGGATGCAAACAAGGAAGAAGTGACATCCTCACGTTGTGCTGAGCCCAGTGGTAACAAGCCCTCTCCTCCTGAGCTTGATAGTACAGAAATTGATGTAGAGAATGTCAATGTGGAGAGCGATGACTTTACTAGTGAAGTTCAAGAAAGGGTTGAAGTTAGAAATGATGAAGTAAAAAGTGAAAACATCCAGTCACCCATAAAAGATGAAAGCACACCTGTGAAAGGTCATGACGAAGTTAAAAGTGAAAACATCCAGTCACCCATAAAAGATGAAAGCACACCTGTAAAAGGTCATGACGAATTCCAGAAGCCTGTAGTTGGTAGAAAAAAGCTGAAGGATATCAAGGAATCCCTGACGCTGTCCGCCATTCTAGATAAAGAAATAGCACAGCAGGTGCAGATCAAAAGAGCCGAAGTCATTTTGCCCAAGCACGACAGCATTTCCAACATACAGCAAGCAGGATTTGTGTCCCAAAACGTGAAGCAGTTCACCCAAAAACTTGGGAAAGATTCCAATTTTTCCCTACCTCCTACATCGAGGAGGGGCAATTCACCTGTGAGAATACCCACAATTTTTGCTAAAAGTCAGAAGGAGGCTAAGCGGTACAGGGAAATGGCCCAGTTTTCAAGGGAAAGGAGTGGCTTCAAACCTAGTGATTTAGGATCCACCGAGGCTCAACTTGCAGCTGACCTGATTGTAGGAGAAAAACAAGTGTCAGCATCTAAACAAACACCTGGCGGCTTTGAAACTCCCCTAAAAAATTGCCAGATAGAGCTCAGTGACAGTTTGATGGAGACTATCAATGATGTCTGCACACCTAGAGCTGAGAAAGTTTTAACCTCTTCTGAGGAAGAGTTCCTAGTGAAATCTCCTTTAAAGGAATCCACAAACATTGTCCAGTCTGCTGTGGTTTCTAGTTTAAAGACATCAAGCCTGGCAGAAAATGCAAGTTTATTCTTATAAAATATATCATTATATTTCTAGAGTTACAAATGCAATTTACATGTAAAATATATTTATTATTATACCTAAAATAGTTAACCTTCTGATTAAACGTTTAAAATGTTTTGTTTCTGCAGTACAAAATATCTTCTCAAACAAGAGCCCAACGCAGGAGTGGACTTGGCGGAGAGCGAAGTTGCACAGCGGCTGTTCCAGGAAAGGGCCGCCTGCAAGTGAAAAGGTTAAAAAACCAAAGCTCTCCAAACAGACTGAACATTTCCCCACGTCGACTAAAGCACATCTCTCCCCACAGAATTAACCACATGTCGCCTCGCAGGCTCAATCACAAATCCCCAAAAACAAAGTCACCCCATAACACCAAGTCACCATATAACACCAAGTCACCACATAACACCAAGTCACCTCATAATACCAAGTCACCACATAACACCAACATGAATTCGCCTGCAAAATTGTAAACTTTTTTTGCTTTATGTTGCTTGTACAAACCATCTAATGTTATAATTATAAAACTTAAGCAGAAATTTTCAGCCCTCAGTCCTACTAGCATCATGTTTTACATCAAGACCTTAAAAATCTTTCATCTTGCATTAATATTCTCCAGCTTAAGAATTTTGACCAAACTTTTTTGAGGTCATGTTTTAAATACCATAAGTGCTGAGGGCTCTTTATTGTTTTTTAGCTCACGTTAACTCATAGGTTGATCTATTGTATCACTTATTCTTGATGTGTATTCACGGTTCTAGATATCATCTTGACCATTTGTAAATAATTCAAATTCTATGCCAGATTTTCTATCCATCTAAGGTGGACTCAATAAAGAATATGTGATTCGTTTTTTTTTTAAATTAACAACTTAGTGTACAATAATCAGGATTTAGCCTTCACTCCCAAGAGAGCTGTTCAGTTCCTGCTTCACACAAAATGATTATCAGATGTCTTTCAGTGTGTTCAGTCATCAAAATATTTGATGATTGAAAGGACTTACCACTATGTTGTATGTTGAAAGTTGTGACTTGTTTCTGCTCAAAAACTAAGTCAGGGGTACTAGTATTTAACTATTTAACATTGATACTAATTATTTTAAAAGAACTGGTTGTGACTTTTTGAGAAATCTGCTTTCTCATGCAGATCATTCAACTTTTTTGGTACTTATTTTTTTATATTCACATTTTTTGAAGTAATAATATAATAAAGTCAAATATTTTTTTTACAAAATTCCAGGAACTGTAAATTTTAAGGGTTGTTATTATGTTGTGTAGATGTTATCAAAGTGAAACTGTGGTCAGATAATTTTTTATACATTGACAAAGAGATTCTTGATTGTCTATACATCTTTTTAAAAATACATTAATCAGAAAACCTCCATTCTAATGACCATATTTATTGTTTTTTAAACATTTTTCTGCTTGGTAAAATATAATCTATGCATCATAGTTGTCTTAGCTTGTATGTGTGTGGCAGATATTGGGCCTTGAGTTTGGCTGCTGGTGGATACATTTTGTCTGGAACAAGAGATGTGGTTTCATGTGTAGATTACACTCTGGCTTTGTGTGTCAATACATTGTCAGATGCTTCTCTTGTAGGAGCATATTGTAAAATAACTGCTATTTTTAAATTTTATTTCATACGTTTATGTTTGAATTTGTATGATTTTAGTGGGTTATGTTGTAGTGTAGAAAGTTTTTTAAGTTATAGGAAAGACTAGAGTTGGTCATGGTGATTTTTTTTAGAGTAGGATAGTGTAGGTATCAATTTTAGTTTGTAGGTTAATACACTTTTATAGAACTCTTGTACATTTTTATGTTTAACATTTCCTTGCAATTTAAAACGTCGGCAAAACCACAAATGTTATTTGAAATGCTTTACAAAATAATAGCCCCTGCTTTAAAAATAAATTGTTGAGCATTAATTAAGCTTTTGCACAGTGCCTTTTCTCATACTCTTGTACTGACTGAAAACTTTTGATATTTTATATACAAGCTTGTCTATGTCCATTGCTATTGAAGCCAGAAACAAAATCAGTTTTGTTAAATAAACTACTAAATTGTGCTGCAATAATTTCAGTGTGTTGTTGCTGATTGTGGAAGGTATGTATTTATGATTACAGAGAAACAAAATATATTTCAGTAATTTTTATACAGTGACATTTTTTTTTAAAGATGTTGTTCTAATGTTTATGGTGTTTATGTACATTTTGTATACAAGGCTGATTTATCAGTTCTTTTAAATTTAAATTGAACACTAATGCCTTCTCTTTATTTAACTTTACAATAATAAACTGCTTTTTTTTGCTGAAGCTTGAGTTTATGTAGCTTGAGTTTGTTGTTTTTTTGTTTTGTTTATCACCCTTGCCGGTTTTTACACTTCCATGGTTATTTTCAATGTTGAGGAAACCATGATGACAGGCTTAAGTCCCTTATATTAGACATAAGGTTTCAATACTTAATTTAGTAACACAATGGAGAGAGTAGTCCCCACATTCTATTTTGGAATCTAGTCATATTGTTAAGTTTTAACTCTAAGGGTAATGTTAATAGTTGTGTTATAGGTAGGGTAATCATTAACAAATGGCATCAGTACAGTCATTACCTATTGCTACTAATGCTAGAAAAATGGTTTATCCATAATAGGAGACAACTGTAACGAGCTGCACATTTTTTCTAAATTACATCCCTTAGTTTAATAAATACATGAAATTGAGCCAACAAAATACTTCTTGAAACAGTAGTTCTTTGTAATTATTTAAAATTTTAAGACATTTTAAAAAAAAAATCCATGATTCAATGGTGACCTACGCAAGTTAAAATTTATTTTTTTATTGCGTTAAATAAAATATGAAAAGTACTTAATTACCACCACAGATATTTGAATATATTTAAGGTGCTAATTCAATGATTACGTTGTCCATGAAATTTAACCAACCTGTTCTACAAGTATAGTAGCAAATATTACAGTTTAAAAAAATATAGCTAAATTATTTCTCGTATTCATATATTATATATATATATATATATATATATATATATATATATATATATATATATATATATATCTAAACAATACTAGTAGAGGAAACTGGTATCTATATGATACACATGATACACGCACGAATGTTGTACATTTAGAACACTCCGCATGTTTACATAAAACTTGTATGGAAAGTTAAGCTCAGATAAACGGGGACAGGACAGCGTGCACATGACATCGTCACACAAACTGGAACAGGACAGCATCAGGCCATCGAGAACGACAAGTCTAACTATCTCCCGACATCAGAGTTTCTCCCCCCCCCCCCACCCCGAAGAAAGTCTACCGCCCCCCCCCCCCCGAACGAAATGGAATTTATATAGAAAATATACACTTTTAACAGGCCCCCCCCCCCCCCGAAAATTTTAGTCCGCCCCCCCCCCCCCCCCCGAAATTTTTAAGTGCCCCCCGGAGAAAACAGTCTTGAAGAAACACTGCCCGACATGTCTACCATTCTATCCCTTCGGGGGGAGGTGATAGATTTTCTTTAGGGGTGGGGGTTGTCTTCTCCCCTCCCCCCAGAAGAGATGCCTGGAAGAAACCTGCTTGACCTTCGGAAAAAAAAATCACAACAACTTTGGGGCAAACGGAACACAACTCACTATCCCAGTTTTTCTAAACCTTTTCAACAATAACAAAATTACACGTAAACAATACAACCCAAGAATTTGTCGTGAACTCTAAACACAGACTACTAAAACACCAACTAACCAAAACACACGCCACACGTATTCTCGTATACACACAACTCACATTCTTTATTTAAAAATAATTGGACACCAGTCAACATGGTGTAGATTGTATACATAAATAAAATCGTGAAAGATGCGAGGATACATACATCGGCTACATAATACATCTAGGGGTGAGTTGTCTTAATACTTTATGTTGTGTAATGGGTGGGATGGCGGGGTAGCGTTTATAACATTATTATATAACACTGCATATGATTTTATATATATTTGTGGTTGTAGAGTGGTATCCATTTAGAATGGTAGGCGATGTGTACTGTTACTTCTTACAGGATGTTTTCATTATCTTAACAATTGTTTTCAAGGATGATCCTTTTCAATAAAATGATGTGTTTTGTTCATTACTAAAATAAAAATAAAAGAAACTGCGTGGGAAGATTTTTTTTTGGCGGTGTCCTAGAAATGTTAGGGGTATTGGTCTAAAGAAATGTTATAGGGGTATTGGTCTAAAGAAATGTTATAGGGGTATTGGTCTAAAGAAATGTTATAGGGGTATTGGTCTAAAGAAATGTTATTATTGGCATGAAGAAATGTTATAGAGGTATTGGTCTAAAGAATTTTTATAGGGGTATTGGTCTGAAGAAATGTTACATTACATAGGCTAGGGGTGTGGCAAAAATGTTACACTTTTGTGTAGCAGGCCATGGCAACGATAATCTATGCTACCGTGTAGTTACTAACTGTCATTAGGGCAGATGAAGTAGAGTTGATATGTTTCTCGACCACGGCATATGAAGACATGATGTGGTCAACCCTATATGCAGCCGCCTTTACGTTTCCCCTACGTGGGTCAGGTATCCTTTAGAGCTGGGTCGACTCGAGATATCTACAGACTCGAGATAACTCTTGGGTTAGCGACCGAACGCCTACAGACAACAACAAAAAACAAACAAGAGAAGCCAGACTTTCGGTTAGGCTTAAAGTTAAATATTCCTACTGCATTCACAACCTAATTAAAACAATATTAAACATGTTCAGTGTAATTAATTTAAGAATACTTTAAAAATGAAAAGATTGTGAGTCGTGCTACAATTAAACCCATCTCTTTACGATCAACATATTGTACAAAAAAACAAACTTACATTAATTGCCTCCCCCACCCCTTCCCTTGCTCTCTACCCCCCCCCCCCCCCCCCCCCAGCCACCCTATACAAATAATCCCTCATACCCAAACCATTTTTTTTATCAATCTACCATTGAATCCCCACTAACACCCTCGCATTATTTTATCGTTGACTTCATTTCCACACTCGCGTGCGAATCACAACACTACGCGAGCGTGTATTCGAGAACGCGACGTAAAAAAAAAAAGAGAGGTCGCTGGTATGCAAGGCGCCGCGCCGTACACTAAAATCGCTAACGGGAGTTTGGTTGTGTCCCATTACGGGTTGAATTCCTGGATCGTACGCGTGGTTTATTTAGTGATATTTGTTCATGTGAAACTGTTCATGGATTTACGTGCTAGTGGTATTGTGCCATGGAGTGCTATCCCTGTGTTGTTTCTGATAATGGATAAATATTAGGAAAAAAAAGTTTACACAAAGTGGATTAGTAAATTACAAGGGGACAATGGCAACGTCGTCTAATATAAGAGTTGCTGTGAGAGTTCGCCCCCTTAGTAAAAAGTAAGTTTGTTAATAAATAAAACGGTAGTTATGTAATAATTAATAATTAAACTAAGTATAACAAACGTTTGCGGAGTTTCATATGCCTTTTTCATTGGTAATTATTTTTAACTACGATCTTGAAATATGCTAGAAACACTTTTTTTTCCTATGTAAATAAAACGAAGAATAATCTATTTATAACCAGTAGACACATTGCATTCAAAAGTGAGCATGCCTTCTGCTTTTGGCGCTCACTGCACGTCTGGCTCGCAGCGAGGATGAATTTGGGCTAAATATAGAATGTAAATATAGGTCATCGCGTAACACACCGGCGAATAACAAGACAATTTTTTTATACTGACAAAGCTACCGTACACCTAGATAAACAATGTCACGCTTATCAATCAGGATCAATAAGCTATTGGGGGAGGGGAGGGGGGGGGGGGGGGGAGTGACTCGAGCTCGGCTGATCATTGTTTGGTTGAAAAAAAACATGGGTTCAATTAGTTTAATGAAATAATTATTGTCTTTTGTAAGAGGATAAATGGTACTTAGAAGTCCATGAATGACGTTAATAAGCCGATTTCCCCGCCCACACGTCTAACGTTACTAGTCATCTCAGAAAGCTCCCCTATTCATAATAATATAACATATTGTACCCCCCCCCCATCACTATCAGCAAATGTAGTATTTTTAGTATAATAAAAACCAATCGTATAACGAAGGTTAACCCGTTTTTCATTTTTCCAAATAAAAAAAACAACACATTTTAAGTTCTACTTCCCTTCCCACCTCTGCACGTTTGGACATGAAACCCCGACCACATCAGAGATACAGACACACAGCGCATACTGTTCTATATTGTACGACAGGCGTTTATAAAAGAACCGGTTCATTAGTCCGGTACCAGCTGTCGGGAGCGACCCCACGGAATGTATCCAATACTTGTCCTGTAGCGTACTCTGGGTATGTTGGTTTGTGGTGGTGGTGGTAGTAGTGTGAAAGGGGCGGGGGATGGGGGGTGGAAATGGGGGAAAAAAGAGGGGGGGGGTAGTTTAGAATCTCCGAGGGACACCCTAAAAGGATAGCTGTCTCACATACAATACGGTTATCGGCGAAAGCACACTTTCAGTTTCAAAATTGAGAATTTCATGAAACAGTAATCTCGCGTTATCAAAAATCGATATATATATATATATATATATATATATATATATATATATATATATATATATATATATATATATATATATATATATATATATATATATATATATATATATATATGTATATATACATTTATATAAATAATCCCCCACTTCAATAACAAAACAGAACTACTGCCTTCGTCAACGCATCATCCGTTTTTCCAATACCCCCAAAAAACGTAGCTAGGTGTAACTTTAGGTTTAGCATAAGTTAGTGTAGGTTGTGTAGTTAACCCTAACAAGTATGTAGTCAGAAAAAAAGCCGCTACCAGTGGTTCTTAACCACTCTATACCATACTGTATTCCAAGTGTTTCATAAAGAGAATATTCATCAAACACATGAAAACAAACGAACCGACAAGTATTTTAAAAGATAAAAATCTCTGTACTAACGATTGCATTTACAATTAGCGACGTGTCTATTGTTGACGTTATATACACAGTCATAGTCTCTCCTCCCACATATCAACACACGTGATAGTCATATTACGTCACAGAAGGTGAGAGTCACATCCACTGACACAAATTCTACCACCACCTCCCCCTCCCCATCTCACTAACGTACATTTTTGAACATTAGTGGGCCATATTATTATGATGATTGTGGGGACTATTTGTAAAATTTGTCTATTGTCGGGTTTATTTGGACCTTTTGTCTATAACCGGTACTATCTGGACCATTTGTCTATAGCGTGTACTATTTGGACCATTTG